TTATCGTTTTAGAAGTTCAGTACAAATTAATAATTTTTTTTATTTTACCCTTAGGGTAGGTAGCATACCCTAATGCAAGCATCACTGACTGATTTCACGACTCGAACGCCTTCGCGTGTTAAAGAAGAACACAACAAATAAAAAGTCCTTACTTTTGAATTTTGATAAACTTAATAATTATTTAGTTATATATTTAAGGGACTATTTTGAAAAGAGGTCATTTTTCATAGTTTTCATCAAATCTAAAAGACAAAATTTGTTAAATATGGAGACAAAAAATGCTCATTTTTTCAAACTTAAAGGCCAAAAATGATGATAAGTATATTTAAGAGACTACTTTGCACCTATCCCAAACATTAGGAACCATTGTTGTCATTTTCTCTAAAAAAAACCCTTCTCAGTTCTCACTCATACGATCCAAAAAAACCTCTGGTTTTTGCCCTCACACTTTCCTTCTTTTCGCCATCCAAGATTCATTCCCAACTCTCAACACATTCAACTATGCGCACCCAAATTGTTCACAAATTCTTTAACCGAAGAATCAATGGAACCCCTTTGAATAGTAGTAAGAGATTTTACGGGGTAATACCAATGGTGATAGAGCACTCTTCAAGAGGAGAAAGGGCTTATGACATATTCTCAAGGCTTTTAAAGGAACGAATTGTTTGCATTAATGGACCCATTGATGATGCCACTTCTCATGTTGTTGTTGCTCAGCTCCTTTTTCTTGAATCTGAGAACCCTTCTAAGCCTATTCACATGTACCTTAATTCTCCTGGTGGTGCAGTTACTGCTGGTTAGTTTTTTCTGCAATTGTTTGTTTCTCTTTGATTTGGGTTTCCTTTTTAACTAAATTTGATTTGGGTTTTTTTGTTTGTTTGTAAAATTTTGGTTTTTTTTTTTTTTTTAAGTTTGATATGCTTTGTGGTTGTGGAAATGAAATTGGGGTTTTAGCTTAAATTGGAAGTGAAAATAGATTTTCAATGTCAAGATTTGATTTTTATCTTGTTCTTGGTTGTCTTTGGGATAAAACAATTGAACTTAGTGTCGGCAGAGTTACTCGGTATCTATGCTGATGGAGGTAGCATGCACCCGGTGGGATAGTCTGAGGTGCCCCCAAATTGGCCCCAGCTTCACTGACATTAAGAAAAAACAATTGTAGGTAGTTTTGTAGAGGTTTAGTTTTTGCGTCTCCATAGAGGAATATAATCTTTAAAGAGAGAAGTAAAAACGAAAAAGTGATTTGTGAAAAGATTTGATTCGTGAGAAGAATAAGTAGATAGCCAAATTATTGTTTTGAGGACAGAAAACATTACATATAACACTTCCATATTGGCTGATTAAGGTTGAGATTCTTTTGTTGTTATATTTACATTAGGTTCAGTGTTACGAGAGTTGGAGCTGTATGTCATTGTAGGGAAAAGTGTTAGATTCAGAAAACACCTAAATTTTCACCAAAGGGCTCCAGTGCACTAAGTTCCTTGAGCCGGGGGTTTATCCGAAACATTCTCTCTACCTTCTCAAGGTAGGGATAAAGTCTGCTTACACTCTACTCCCCAGAGCCCACATTGTGGGATTATACTGAGTTTGTTGTTGTTGTTATTTGCTCCAGTGTACTAAGTTCCCGCTATGCACTGGTTCGGGGTAAGGTCTGGACCATTTGGTTTATTGTAACTTGTAACTAGTCTAGCTTGCATTTTTTCAAGTGTCAGAGGCTATTTTCGTGGTTTGGACTCATGACCTCCTGGTCACATAGCAACAACTCTTACCTATTTTGTGTTTAAAAAAACAGACATTTAGTATTGAAATAAAATGGACTTGTATTGAACGGAATGGATATTGGATAGAGAAGATTCATATTTCCGACTCCACCTAATTTGGGACTTAACTGTTGTTTATTGATAAAAAGCATCAGGACAAAGGGGGAGGTCGTAATCTTTGGGTTCCAGTTAGCTGCTCTTATTTTGTTTGATTTCTTTAGGATGCAATCTTGTCTCATTTATTCCACGACTATTTGTTTGTTCCCATTCCATAGATAGGTAAGTTTCTATCTTTTCCCTTTTGCTTTATTCTTTATTTACAGTATTTCTCAACCTTATAAACAAAAAAAAGCAGTTTCTTGTTATCTGTCTTTCCTTGAATACCATTTTTTAATTAATCATGATTTGCATCAAATTTGCTTTCATATTTGTTATGGGAGTCGGAACTTATAATAAGAGCGCAAGATAACAAACTCCAAGAGTTCTAATTAACCTGCCATGGATGAAAGACTGTATTTAACTGGCAGAAGGATTGACGAACACGCCCTTTGTGTACCGCGTTTCGAACCGTGCGCCAAAACCTTCATAGATCTATTGGTTATTACAAAAAGAGTGTTATAGGTTAACCGGCATATATGTGTTTTAATTCTCTCATACCTCTGATGGATCAAGAGAGAACAAGTGCTTGTTTTGTGTATTTTTGGAGGAAGATACTCGGAGTAGATTTTTAATCTTTTGCAATTTCGACTTCATTTCTCATCTGTGTAATTTGTGCCCTGCTAATACTGAGATAGTAGTAGACGACTGCAGTCAGTGTCATTTATGATTTGACTCCGACGTGCAATCAGCATTATGACTGTGAGACCGTTTTTATATTCAATATGCCTAATAATTATAGAGCCTGTGATAACTTTCAGCGTACTTGGTATAGAGTAGATCTTAAATTATAGTAAAATTTCTTGGGGTCTTACTATAATGACTAGTGGGATTACATTGGCGAAAGATGGACACTAAGGTCTATACTTAGGTTTTCAAACAAAAGAAAGCATCATTGTGCTAATAAAGAACTAAAGGATACATCTTTTTTCCCAGTTTGGACTAGAACTTAATATTACATGTGCAATGTTTGTTGAGAATATGCTTGGTTCTGTATATATGTGGTTATAGCTTGATGTGTACTTTGGTCAGACTATTGTACTAATGCTTTTATCCTGTGATTAAAGCTCGACAAAAAGGTCTGGCATTGGGGTTGCAATGAACTTGAAGCTAAAATAGAATTTGAGGTTTAATTGCGCTTTGTCTAATACCTTGGCAGGACAAAATTGCGAGATCATTTCCTAACTTATATATGTGCTCGTCTTTAAGGACATTGCCATAGTTTTCCTGAAGTGCTGACTCTTTATCTTTTTTGCGCCGCTAGGTCTTGCTATCTATGATACAATGCAGTATATTCGATCTCCAATTCATACTATATGCCTAGGTCAAGCAGCTTCAATGGGATCTCTTCTCTTAGCTGCGGGTGCAAAGGGTGAGAGACGATCTCTCCCTAATGCTTCAGTTATGATTCATCAGCCTTCCGGTGGATATAGCGGGCAGGCTAAAGATTTGACGATCCACACAAAACAGATAGTTCGGGTATGGGATACTTTGAATGACTTATATGCAAAGCATACGGGACAACCTATAGAAATAATTCAAAAGAATATGGATAGGGATTATTTCATGACACCTGAAGAGGCGAAGGAGTTTGGAATAATCGATGAGGTTATAGATGAACGACCAATGGCTTTAGTAACTGATGCTGTTGCAAATGAAGCCAAAGAAAAAGGTTCAAGCTAGAAAAATTGCTGTAATACTCATTTATTGCTCTCTTCGTTAGCATTTACCATCGCTATCTAGTTCTTCATTTTACTTACTGGCGTATTTACTTTCTAGTATTTTATTTGATGAGGCGATATCTCATTACTTTGTTTTCCCAGTTGTTTGCTTTAGTGAGTTTATATGCTGGAATGATTTGAGGTATTAGATAGAAAGCATCCTCTGATTTAACTCCAATTATGATCTTAAAATTCCTGTTCTGAGCTAAGTCTAATAGCAATTGAGGTGCTAGAGCTTTTTACCTTATTCCCTTCTGTAACTTTGGAACTATTTTTGGCAGAACAGGTCTCAGATAAATCTGAAAACCCTAAGGGGTCGTTTGGTTTGAAGACAAGTTATGCTCGGATTAGTTATGCTGGTATTATTTCTTATTGATTGTTTGGTATGTTGTATCAATCCTGGGATTGTTAATTTTATGTTTTATCCTGAGATTACTATCCCACCCTCTGGCAAGTATAAGTTATCTCGGTACTATTTTTAATCATGGGATAACTTATCTCGGGATTAATAACCAAACAAGGGATAAAATGGTACTAAATTTTTATCTAGGATTATTTTACTTCCATCATACTAAACGTAAGGGGTCATTTGGTTGTGAAACAAGTTATTCCATGATTAATTATCCTGGAAGTGGTGATCCTACTCTCCCATAGGGATAAAAACACACTACAATCCCGGGATAACTAATCATGGGATTAGTTACCTCACGATTTTATCCCAACCAAACATGGGATAAATTCATTTCAAATTTAATCCCGGGATTAATTATCTCTTATCCCTCGTACCAAACGAGCCCTTAGTACTTTGCTTGAATAAGTTAGTTATTTTTCCTCCTTTAACTGATTTTCATTTGGTTGCTGACCATTGATTCTTTTGTTTGTTCAATACGAAAAAGAGGTGGAATACTGAATGATTCTTGACTCTACTACTTAATATTCAAAAATTGTCCTAAATAAGAAATGTATTTGGTTTCCATCTCCAAAGGAAGTTTGGTGTAAATTAGTAGAATCTCATGCTGGAATTGGACATCACAATCCACATGAAGTTTTTGTACGACATACGTTGATCTTCCTTGTGAATCTTGTAAGTTTTTTATTTCCTCGCATCTTTCAGAACTTTCTATCAAACATCTTTTATATCTGTGGATGAATGCTCTACTAAAGATACGCTACAAAAGTAAGGCAAAATACACTGAATAATAGTGTCCTTCTGAATAGAAGAAAAACAAAAAAAAGCAGAGGAAAGCTACACAATCTCTTCTGTGATCAATGAAAATTTAACGATGAATCTGTTTTTTTCAATCTTAAATGAATAATAAAGAAGGATTGTCTTAAAATTATAACTAAAGCACCCGTACGAGAAATAAAAGGAAACAAAGCAAGACAAACATAAATTGTCTTCCAACACAATAAAAAATGCACTAGCGTCAGTATCAAGACCTGCACTTCTCCTCTTTGCCTTGCTAGTGAAGTATACGTGAGCTCTGGTTGGGAAAAATGCTTGGACCGTATGTGGACATAAACATATCCAGCAAGAGAGGAAATTGCAAGGACTCAAAGAGGACTACTGGAATGAGGGCTGCTATGCCCACTGGTATGAGTATCCATCCTTTTTTCTGACCAAAAACGAGATAAATTGTAGCACTAGATGCTATCATCAGAGATGTCATTGAAATGAATAGGGTACCCAGGCCTAGAATCAATCTCTCTAAGGAAATCCCCCTCTGCATATCTCGAGGTGAGGATAGACAGGAACATTAGAACAGAGGCAACAGACAGAATGCAGCAGAAACTGCAAAAGCCGTGTTTCATTGGAGAAGAGTGGAAAACCACTGTTTTGATTGTTTCCACCTGGCACGGTAATGGCTGCTGCAAATACTACTGTTGTTGTTAGGGCTGCCACAAATATACAGGAATTTGCAGTTTCTTTCATCCATTTCTCTCCTTCTTTGACCAATTCCTTGTGTTCCTCCGTGAACACCATTTTTGGTGTTTCTCCATTTGAGTTTCTCTTTGTTCTGAGCGTTGGTTGAACAAACTTTTCCACTTCCTACATAAACATAGATACCAACACATATGAATGGAATTGTTGAAGCAAGAATGATATATTTTTTAATAAAAAAACAATTTAAGATATTTTTTGTTGACTCGTCTTTCTCACTTAGTCACTTCACATGTTTATATCCATTAAGGGCCTACATATTCGAATGTTCTAAAAGTTCTTTTATTGTAAGGAGAAAATTTGTAGTCACAGAGATACAACTGATTTGATAAATGGGTGTGGTTGAGCCACATACTATACACATATGTAAACACATTTGACATCGTGATGTGTGATTAAATGGATGTCAAAGGAAAAAGAAAGAAAAACTACTTCGCAAATGGCAGTCATACGTTAATGATATTCTTTTAAGTTCAATTTCTTATCCTTATCATAAAATCCATTTTCAAATGTCTGATTACTTTGGATACCTCCATTGTTTGCACAAGCAAAGCATTGATCCTTCATCACCACAAATGCATTCGTAATTTACAGATCAAAGCTGACATGCAGACAAAACTGTTTTTTCTCATCTTTCCCTTTCATTTCAGACGATGCTAGTCCCTTTCATAGCCCTAATCTCAATGACAATATGCTTGTACATATCCGTCCTAACATTTCCTTTCAATTGGTCGAGTATCTCAAATTATGCACAATTATATTGACTCCCATTTACTTAAAAAGGACCATTCATCATGGATTACGATAGTCTGATATTTCCTTGACAAATTTGCAGCATTTTCAGATGCCGAGGATGCTGACATTCGTCATACTACATTTGACTATGCTGGAAGTTTCTTGGCAATTCACTAATTTCCTAAAATAGCTTATGGTATGAGCTCTATGATACCATTATAAACTATTCTCGGCTTTTAAGGTCTACTCTAATTATTTCCCTTCCAACAACGCGACTTAAAAGCACAACCAGCAAAACCTAAAAAAGAACCGCGCATGAACGTAGTTATGTGAAACTCATACCGAAACCATTGCAATTCACGCTGCATTTGCAAAGCCGCACCTGAGATAAGATTGAGTCGGCTAAGAGGTGCTAGCTTTCCAGCCATATGTAATATGTTGTTCCCTGAAGTGTCTGCACCAGCTGTTACCAAATGTTTATATACACTTAACTGATATATAAGACTAAACACCTTCTCATAACGATTTATTACTGCAAGGTGAAATAAGTTATGGTTCTCAGAATCAACAAACCAGATTGCGTCTGGGTAACGTTCTATAATTTCTTCTATGATTTCAGAAATTCCTGAACCTGCTGCTGAAAGAAGTGCCTTTCTAAGTACTGGCTCAATATCCTCACCCGTAGAGGAATAATGTTTGGTAAGTTCCTCGCAAAGACATTTCACAATATCAAGAGTCTCTTCATGCATTAATTTTGTATCCTTAATGTGTCTGATTGCTCTTGCTGTAAACAAAAAACACTTTCTTAGAACATGATAGGGCACTAACAAATAGTACATCATGTTATGATACATTATCTTAATGCCACAAAGTAAAGCTAAAACTAACAGTCCAACAGCTAACTACGAACCCACAGCAAAACAACTTCAAATATATCAGTCAAGTATAATGTAAGGATGCAATGCAATGCACATGACCGCTACGGCGCGTAGCCCGATCCATTTAATGTCGACGGCGCTCACTGGGGGTGTGTACAGACTCCAGAGGGGCTCCTTCAGCCCAAGCGCAATATAATCATATCATTCGCTGCGACGTGCAGCCCGATCCATACTCAGTCCACAATATGCATATGAGTCACGTAACAGATTCAATTAATTTCCCAATTTCCAATTTATTAAGGAGAATATACTTTAGATATTTAACTTCAGGAAAAGTGACTTAGCGTTTCATAACATTGATTAAACACAGGACTGAGATCAATGATTATACAAAGCATGCTATCACAATGACAATCATCCTCTAAGGATGCTACAGATCGGCACAAGGCCCCAAACACGGCAATAAGCCAAGATATATTCAATACGGGGTGCGTATCAGTTGCCAATATAGAAACATTCTTGTTCGGGATGGACTAAGTCTCAATCCCCAGTCATATCCAATCCAGCACCTGCCATGGGGTGCGAGTCACGCCCTACAATAGCGTCACAATGTGATAAGCCGGGGTTTCAAACCCTCAGGCCATCATATACACCAACTACTCACCTCTAACCGGCCGTAGAATGGTCCGCAGTGCCTTTTCCCTTTGTATCGACCTCCTCGCGCGTCGAATCTAGTCAAAATCACAGCGAATACATAAATATGGGTTAAAGAAACATAACCCAATCAAAAATACTCGAAAAGTACTAAAATTCACGAAGTTGGTAAAACCCGAGCCCCGGGCCCACTTCTCGAAAAATTCCGAAAATCACACCAACAGATTCCTCGTCTCGCCACGAGTCCGTGCATATAAAGTTTGCCAAAATCGGAGCTCGTTTGACCCTCCAAATTCCATTTTTACATCACAGCTTTCCAAGCCCTAGCTTGACCCGTTTTTGATGAATTTTCTACAATTTACATGTAATTTCTACCATAAATTCGAATATTTAGGCCAAGGAACTTACCTCCAAGTGATTCTCAGTCAAAACCCTCGAATTTCCTTGCTCAAAGCTCTTAAGAACGTCAACAATGGAGGAAAAATATGAAAGGGTCGCGGATGAAATATTATTTTAAAACCCTTCTGTCGCCCAGTCCGGTTTTCGCTTCTGCGGTCCCGTAACCGCTTATGCGGGACCGCTTCTGCGGCCATATGACCGCTTATGCGGTTTTTCATTAAAACTCAAGGGCCGCTTCTGCGACACCAATTTCCGCTTCTGCGGAAGCTCACCTCCTGGCCAAACCCGCTTCTGCGACCGCCTGTCCGCTTCTGCGGACTCGCTTAAGCGAAAAGTGTCCCGCTTCTGCGGAACTGCCCAACTCCACTCCAGACCGCTTTTTCGACCGAGATTACGCTTCTGCGGAACCGCTTATGCGGTCCATTTCCGCAGAAGCGAACATACCAGATACCAGCAAAATCTGCCATTTCCTCAACTTGAATTTCATCCCGATAGCCATCCGAAATCACTCCGAGGCCCCCGGGACCTCAACCAATAGCACCAACACACCCCCAGACCATATTCAAACTTGTTCCAATCATCAAAACACTATCGTTAACATCAAAATCATCGAATTACCACGGATTCAAGCCTAAGTTAAACTAAAACTTCCGAAACTTGCATTTGATCTAAAACCCGTCCTAAACACCTCCGAATGATCTGAAACTTTGCACGTATATCCAAAATCACCTAACGGAGCTACTGCAACTCTCGGAATTCCATTCCGACCCTCGGATCAAAATCTCACCTACCATCCGGAATTCGCCAAAATCCAACCTTAGCCAATTCAAGCCTAATTCTACACCGGACCTCCAAATTCAATTCCGATTGCGCTCCTAAGTCACAAATCATCCCCCGAAACTAGTCGAATCATCGGAAATCCATTCCGAGCCTTCTAACTCATAAGTCAACATTCGGTTGACTTTTCCAAACTAACCTTCTCATAAAGAGACTTATTGTCTCATTTCCAACCGAACTCTAACCGAATTACTTCAAATTCTCCAAACACATATAATGAAACATATAGAAGCATAAAACGGGAAAAACGGGGCGGTAACTCCCGTAACGACGGGTCGGGTCGTTACAGGACATAAAATAATAAAATTGATTGCCTAGTGGTCACTCAACTTGTGGTAATTGGCTATCAAAGTCATCTAGGAGTATCTTTTATTTATCTTTCAAAAGTTGTTTTACTTTATTTAGTTAGCTTATGGTCATCTTTGCAACATTTATACTTTTCGATAAAAATTTAATGACGTGTCAAATTAGTTTAAGAAAATAATAATTAAAAGACTAATTTAGAATTTTAAAAAATTAGAAGGTATAGTACTTATAAGTTGAATATATACTATTCAAGGTAACTTAAGTATTAAGAGTATATTACATCCAAAAAGTTTTTCATATTCCTATTACATCTAAAAAGTTGAATGTGTAACCATTGAAGTTAACTAGGTAAAGTAAATCGAATTTTGAAAGACCAAAAAATAAAAATAAAAAGACTTTGATGGCTGATCATCCAGCAATCAACTCTATAATAATAATAATAATAATAATAATAATAATAATAATAATAATAATAATAATAATAGAATAATAATAAGTCACTGTTTATGATGCAGTGAAGCAAAGTGAATTTAAAGTTGACAAGTGCATATTCTGATATGGTTCAATTATTTGATCTAAAAAGTAAGATTTGACTAAATTCAAGAAATTGACATCTTAAAGGTTTGATTTATACTCAGATAAATTGCCAACTCAAAAAAAAAATAATCCAAAATGAAAATGACTCCTCAAATCTAGTATCCTGCTGTGTTCTTTCCGAATCATGAGTTGGAGTCTTTGGCGTATTGAAACAGAATTCAATTCCTCATACAATAAGTTAAAAGTCATTATCATGTACTATAATATTTGGGGATTTCCTTGTATGTATGAATTAAAATTTGATTATCATTCAATTTGTCGCTTTAATAATTATGGAAAGTAGAAAAATTGACACAGTATAAATAGACCAAATCAACAGATCTGGTAGAATTCGGAGATATCCTGTTCCCACTTGTAGTAGCCTACTAGGACTGTAAAATTCTCGGAAATAAATCAATAATTTGTCCACGTGTAAATTGGAGACTTATATTCAGTATTAATTAAAACAACTTTTTATGTTTTTAAAATATTTTTATTTAAGTGTTTACGATATTTTTACTTTTATTCCAAATTACATTACACATAAAATAGTACTTAAATTTTGAGTAAGTTATATATGTACAGTAATATTTACGTGAGAAATAAAATAGTAACAGAACATTGACTTAGTGATATATAATTTTGTATGTAGAATCAAATGTTGTTTTAGCAGCGCCAAATCTTAAGTTGTGATTATGTTTTCTATGTGAACCAAAAATACACCATACGAGTATACATTCATAAAAGGAGAAAACGTATGTGCATTAATTATTCGAGCTATCTATAAGACTAGTGTTATGAATTATGGTAAGTATTTGAGAACAAGAAAACAAATAAGACTTAACCTTACCCTACTGAGCACTAGTGGTGAGCACCGTCCACTTCCAACCAAGAGGTTGTGAGTTCGATTCGTCCCAAGAGCAAGGTGGAGAGTTCTTGGAGGGAGGGAAAAAAAGTATTTGACCTCACAATGATATTTACACTAAATTAAATAATTTAATTCTAATCATTCAAGATTTACTGAATGCACTAAGGAGCGGAATAAGGTGTATTAGTAATGCACGGATTAGTAATGCATGTATTAGTAATGCAAACATATAGTTATGCAGATATTATTTCTTATCTACTATTTGGTGTGATGTATTAAAATTATAATGCATAATTTTTAAGAAAAATAGTTGTTTACAAAAGTGCCCTCCATATTCTCTAGCTTTAAGGGGCTTTATGAATAATTTTATCTTTAACCATACTAATGCATGCATTAATAGTCTTGGTATTACTAATGCCATGGTTTTCTATGCATTACTTATACATAGGATAATATCAAGTATGATGTATAACTAATACAAGTATTAATTATACAAATGTTGAAAAAATGTACCAAACAAGGTATTAGTAATGCGTAGAGCTAATGCTTGCATTATTTTTTCTAATAACTCCTACCAAACTACCCCTAAGTATTTATGCCTAACTTCAAGCAAAGGCGAATATAATTTTTAGTATCGGATTCATCTGAATTCAGTGCAATGCATAAGTTTATATGTATGAGCCCATAATTTTAGAACTGTAATAATATGCATAGAAATTTAAATATTGAATCCACAAAAGAATTGCTTACGATTTGATAGAATTCACTAGTTTTAACCTAAACTTTATATTTGTGTCAAAATGTCCACTTTATATTATCCTACATAATTTATTCAAAACCAAATAAAGTGCTTTTTTTTTAAAATCCAAAATTCATAAGCTCAAATCCTAACTTCCTTCAATAGAAAAGTATAGTGGAGTCCTAACTCCATATATAAAGAAATATTTTATTTAATTGCAGAATAAATAGTTGTCATAGTTGATTGTCATTCCTCTAACAATATTGAGAAAAAGTTACCAAAATTGGATAGGACTTTCTATTTCTTCTAATTTGAGTAGGACTTGGATACAGTATATACAAGGTATAAAAAGACCAAATCCAAGAATTCGGAGTTATCCCATTTAAGATAGAAACAGAAAAGTATAACTAGAGAAACTTCATAGAAACAACCTGTGTACAAGTAAACAAGAGACGTGCGCTACGAAACAAAATAAAAAAAAAAATAAAAACAAGGCGTTGGTCCACTACTGCTAAAAGCTTAAACAAGCAAAAGCTTCTTCATTGTCCAACCTACCTTTTCTGCCCCGCTTCTTCTACCCGGAATCCAGCACACAGACTCAGGAATCTCAAGTAATGCACCAAAAACTAAGCGGCACTTGAACAGGTGCCACATACTCTCTTTATTCTTTTTTTCTTTTGTTTGCGTTGATTTCGTGTTAAATTTGGGACGATGACGACCCTTTTGTTGTTAATATGATTTGAGTCTTTCCGTTTTTATATACATTTGTAATGTTATTTGGTTCTATATAATTATGGGTGAGGAGAATGCGCTTAATATGTTTCAAAACAGTCTGTTATTGGGTTTCTGTAGTTCTGATTATACACAATGTTTTTTAATTTTGGCTTTTGACTTCCTGGATGTTAGCAAAAAGGTGTTGATTAAAGATTGGACTCAAATTGAAGTCTTTGACAGATATTACAAACTACAGGCACGTTGTAACTTGAAATTCAAGTGTTTCTTGCCTTAATTTTGATAATGTTGGATTTATATTTTATGATTTGGCAATATTACTTGTATCTTTTTACATTTTTGAGCTTTGTTTCATCTTATAACCTGCAATTAACCAGTCAGGAGTGGGTATAGAGAGAAGTTTTCCCTTCCCTTTTGCCGCTTTAACAGATTTTTTTGGGGTTTTCTATTATCTCTTCAATTTTTTCTTCTTTCTTTTTGACAGGTAGAGGGTTCAGGAAGGGGTTTGTAGGATGGGTAATATACAAACATTTGTTCTAGTTTTGACTACCCGATTCAATAAAAGAAACCTGATGTCAAAACGAATTCTAGTGATCAACTTTTGAAAGATATAAGTTTTATTGAACTTATATTCATACATGACTAGTCCTGTGATAGGTACTCAAATATGAGCTTTTCTTGGTTGATCTTAATGATTGGTTGGTGAACACCCTGGCTTGGCCGAACTAGAAACATATACTGATGCAATCACACAATAATGAGTCACACAGGCTTGGCCCCGAAGAGCTTTGATGTTTACAACAGTCTAGTGTTGCACTGTTTAATCCCAATATCATCCTTTGCTCCCTTATGATTAATTTCAGCTATGCTTCTTCACTTGCAAACTCCAGCACATTCTTGTGTTGACCATTTTAGTAGTGGTTACCAGGTTGAACCTAGATAAGACTTTGGTGTTCTTTTCAACCTACTACTGTTGGATAAACTTTTACCAATATCATGAAACTTTTTTCATGGTTTATGTGAAATGCAACTTGTTAGGAGTGTGTTTGGTCTAACTGTATGTATTAGCCTTTAAGTTTGGTCACCTTTCATTTTTAATATCTTGTTGCCAATAAATGTGTTAAAAGTTCGTTGTTAAAATAATTGATTTGGTCTATAGATCTCATGGGTGGCAAGAGTTCAAAGAGATCAACAACTGGTCGATATGCATCATTTGGGTCCAGTTCACATTCAGGTTATCAAGGCTATCCACAGTCACCATATACTCAACCAAGCTACAATTATCCCCCGCCACCTCCTTGTCAAACATATGGCGGTCCACCTCCTGAGTCAAGGAAAAGGCTTGAGAGGAAATATTCAAAGATAGATGATGACTACCACAGCTTAGAGCAGGTAAAGTGAAACACTTTCAATTTATAAATGAGTAGAAGGATAAAACTTCGGCAAGTTTATGATACTTTGGAATATCGACCATAATCTCCTCAACCTGTTTTATTTGTTAACAATAGTCCATAATGCTTCTGGCTGGGCATGCTGAAAGTGAGCATTTGTTCATCACATTCCGCATCAAGATATTTATGCTGTCATCTGTGGAAGTTACAAATGCAGTAATGAACTTTGAATATGGCATCAGTTTTATGTTAATTCATGCTGAAATATGCGGTAGCATGCAATAGTATACCTGTATGTTTTTCTGCCATTCACATCTAAATTCTGTTCGCAGCTGCTTTGTAAGATTACAATGTGCATATGTAAAAGATAAGTCAATACAAGCTTTGGTTGTACTGGATACCATTTTCAGATCTAACTAGTTGATTCGAGTTATTTTCTATGTCAATACGTTCGACCCTCATAGTTATTCTGCTCCCTTCTTGGAAAAAGAGTCTAAATGTCTTCCTGTATCCTACTTTTATCTTTGGTGAAGCAACTTGTTATCTAACTTTGCACATATGTTTTTGCACCAAAAAAGTTATCTTATTGAGAATGTCAATTGTTGTTTGTCAACTATAGGCTGCTAATGCACCTTATCCTAAATAAAATGGTTGGTGAATAATTGTCAATCAAACTCTTGATATGGTGCCACATTTAAGTTTATTGGCAAGTAAACACGAAATTAACTTTGTCACTAGAATTGAGAATTATAGCTGATGCGGTTTTTCCATGACTCTTTTGGACCAAATATTCTAGTTGTGTCATGTTGAATGTTTTGAGTCAGGAAGTTTGAAATTTCTTATTTATGGAACCTATTTACTTTTTCATCTTATGGAACTTACGAGATAGGTTTTTTATCCGGTTATTTATATTGCTTGACTGACTTTCTTTTCTAGGTTACTGATGCCCTTGCACGTGCTGGGCTAGAGTCTTCGAACTTAATTGTTGGCATCGATTTTACCAAGAGCAATGAGTGGACTGGTAATACTTCAATCTGTGATAGGATACTTATGTTTGACTTTTTTTAAAAATGAGAATACTTATATTTGACTTACAACACTGTCCATCTAATCTACTCCTGAACTAGGTGCAAGGTCATTCCACCGGAAAAGTTTGCATCACATTGGTGATCAGCAAAATCCATATGAACAAGCAATATCCATCATTGGGAGAACATTATCAAAATTTGATGAGGACAACCTGATTCCTTGTTTTGGATTTGGAGATGGTACTTCTCTAAACACCTAATTTCTAATTGGACCTTTTTAAATCACAGAGGTCTTATGTGATTGTGTCATTGGCAGCCTCAACACATGATCAAGAAGTCTTTGGTTTCTATCCGGATGACAAATATTGTAATGGATTCGAGGAAGTACTGAGTAGATATAGAGAATTGGTTCCTCAATTACGGCTCGCAGGTGCAGCTTGAGTCTTCTTTTGTATTTGCCTTTTTTCTGATTGCCTGCAGTGGGTATACTTCTGCATTTCTGCTTCATGACACTTTCATCTTTACAGGACCAACATCATTTGCTCCTATTATTGAAATGGCAATCACTATTGTTGAGCAGAGTGGCGGCCAGTACCACGTTTTATTGATAATAGCGGATGGACAGGTAGATATGCTGTCTCGCTATAACACAAAAATATGGAATATTTATCAGCCGATTCATTTTGTGTATTTTCTAGTTTCTGGTGCTTTAATACTACTTAGTCTATTTGTTACAAATCAGTTGACGGGTAGTTGCATTCTACAAAGAAAACAGATGAATGAGATTTTGAAAATGGTTTAAAATTTGATCTTGGATAATCATAAACGAATGTGTGTAACAGTGGAGAACTTTAGTTAAAAATAGGTCTTCAGATTTGTACCAGAAAAGAATATGTGTGTGTGTGTGTGTGTGTGTGTGTGTGTGTGTGTGTGTGTGTGCCCGCGTGTGTATTGTGAGTGGTATGCGCAACCAGTGATCGACTGTCAAAGGATAAGCAGAGCCTGAAGTATGTATCAAAGGTATCCACCCTTAACATTGTGCTTATCACCTCCCAAGCAATGGATTGGGTTGGAGGCTATGCCAAACCGAAGTAGATAATTCCACGACCTAAATGAAAGTGTAAATAACAGTAAAGCTGTTTGGTGGTTGTGGTAATCTTTAGGACCATCACGCTGTAAAATGTCCAGCTTTCAAAATTGTGTTCAGATTCTCTTCCAATTGCACCCTTTTAATTCTCACATATTTTAGAGATCTTGAAAATGGAAGTCCCAAGTTTCTATGCCATATATCTGCCTTTAAAGGAGCAAATCATGGTTCTTGAAAGAATTTAAGACAGTGGTTTACTTTGAGATGTGTGAGCTTTTGTGCCTTCTTCATTTGTATGGGCGTGTATCTAATTGTTTCAATTTTAGAGGAGTAGAAGAGAGATTGGTAGTGACATACACTGTCAATATTTCAGCTAGCGCAGTCCTATGTAGAGATACATGAAAGAGGAGAAACATTCCATAAAGCTTTGAGTGACTTCCCATAGAATTTTGGTGGAAGAACTTTATCTTTGTTTTGCCGATAATATGACAATAAAAAATGAATCTGTCAGTATTCAGTACACATGATTTTAAGCAACACATCTGACAGGAACAATCTGCTTTACATGTGAATGTTGCAGTTAACTAGTTCCAGCCAAAATGGTTTATCAACGGCTTATCTAAATTGAAATGAGACTAATTACAGGTTACAAGAAGTGTAGATACTGTGCGTGGTCAATTAAGCCCTCAAGAGAAGAGAACAGTTGAAGCAATTGTGAAAGCAAGGTAACTTTTTCACTGTAGTTAAAATTCTTTGATAATGCTATTTCCAGTTCATTCTTGAATTTTTTTTTATGTTTATTTGCAGTGAATATCCCTTGTCTATTATTTTAGTTGGGGTTGGAGATGGGCCATGGGACATGATGAGGGAATTTGATGACAATATCCCTGCTCGAGCCTTTGACAATTTCCAGGCAAGTAATTGCTGCTGCTTTTTTTTTTCCTGTCCTTGATGGTATTGATTTGTTTTCCCTAATTGCCTTAAGTTTCTGGTTTCCTCATCAACTTTTTGTTCTTTTCAGTTTGTTAATTTCACAGATATCATGTCAAGAACTGTGGACCGGTCCCGGAAAGAAGCAGAGTTTGCCTTAGCAGCATTGATGGAAATACCTTCTCAGTACAAAGCAACTCTGGAGCTGAACATTCTGGGGTACAAATCGAATGCTCATTGTTAATTTGCTGCTAGTGGACACTGAAATTTAATAGTACTCAAATTCCTTCTGAAAAAGCTGATAGTGGAATTTATTTTCAGTTAATTTTCTACTTCACTCTTCAGTGTTCATTTTGTTTCTTATTTTGGTTTGCCTTTTTTGAGCAGTGCTCGTAGAGGGAATGAAATTGACAGGATTCCTCTCCCCCCTCCTCGCTACGGTGCAGCTTCTTTTGGTACATCAAAACCTTCACAAAGCAATAGTTACCGTCCAAGTGCGCCTTCTAGCACTAGCAGACACAATTCGGCTGTTGGATCAAGTCATCCTGCAAGTTCTGCAGATAATCATGTAAGCAGCAGTTTTTCTGTTTATTTTATCTTCTACTCTTGATAACCACTTAAAGCATGAAGGCTCATTCTGAACCAATTTTATCAAATATCAGGTTACGTTGTTGACCTTTCAAATTGATTTGGATTATCTTATTTATTCATCTCCCTTTTCTTTTTATTTTTTTTATTTTTTTTTACTTTCATTAGACCAGTCAATAAAGGAATGGCAGAGTAGTTGATCCCGACCCTTGCCGGTTTTTTATGTTTGATTCCATAATTTGAAGTAATTTCAGAATCCTTATTATAACAAATTTTTTCACCTCTTATTGTTTGACAGCTCTGTCCCATCTGCATAACCAATCCAAAGGACATGGCATTTGGTTGTGGACACCAGGTATAGTCGTACAGATTCTCAATTTCCTTCTCAGGTAGCAGTAGTAAAACTACATATATTGACATGAACTCATTTGCTTGCAGACATGTTGTGAATGTGGGCAAGATCTTCAGTTGTGCCCCATCTGTCGGGACAGCATTCGGACTAGGATAAGACTTTACTGAGTCACTTCTTGTGGCTGAAGAATAATTTGCTGCTAAGAAAGTCTCAGATTCTTATGTTACTGGGAGCAGTTTATTAAATTATATTCTTGCTGATGGATCTCAGTTTGTCAGCAGTATAAATGTCTTTTTGTTTTTAGAGATGTTACATTTCAGTATTTTGCCCTGTACATAGATTTTCTACTTTCTATTTAAGGTTACTCATTGTTCATTGAAACTGGTGCTCAATGTGCAAAGATAATCTGCTTTCACCTGTGTTCAAGGACACACTCAATGACTTATCGGCTGCATTGCTTGAGGAATTGTTTCACAAAAATTTAGACGAATTGCTTCTAGATTGAGTAGAAAAGAGATATATGGAAGTTCTCTTCTCTGTGCGTCATTATGTCCATCATTTCTTATGTGAGATTTGACGGTTATCAAGTTTCTGAGCCACTTTTTTTCTGTATATTTTCCTATAAGTCATCTTGGAAGTCACAATTTTAAATTGAGGTATAAACTTTCTGGCAGAATGGATGAGTCTTGAGTGTGTAAACGAATGTTTGGTGCTCCCTCTCTTAGTGATGAATCGTTGTCTACTAAAGGTTCATGTGGCAAGAACTACCTAACCATTACCATTCTTAGTTGAATATTTGACCCCAATTAGTTGGATATTAGTATTTGATTTCTCATTTGCGTGACTTTTTGCCGAAGACCCTATATAAACACTTCCTTTAAAACCATAGTAATGCATTCGACACAAATTTCTCTTGAGCTTTTTCTCCATGGAGAAGCACTCGCAGATTCTAGTCAACTGCTTCGTCACTGCAGCTCTTTTACTGCACTGTCTTATTTCATGCAGAGCAAAAGATGTGTTCTGCAGGAAAAGGGACATGGAAGCTATTGCTGAACAACACGGGAGTTGTCGGTGGACATATGGTTTTAACTCATTGGAACACTGTGATACTATTTGATCGGAGTGGGTTGGGCCAATCAGGATTGCAGCTACATCATCGGTTCAATGGAACAAGATGCAAGGGCACTCGTGGTGACTTGGCAGACTCAACTTGCTATGCTCATTCTGTTGAGTACAGCATTTCCAACAACAATGTTAGGCATTTGAATATCATGTCCGACACTTTTTCCTCTTCTGGTTCCATCTTCAGCGATGGAAGGATCGTTCAATCAGGTGGCTTTAGAGACGCTTCGCGAAAGATTCACTACTTTGAGCCTTGTGAAACTGGTGATACTTGTGATTGGAGGGTGGAGAAGAAACACTTGTCTGAAAACCGTTGGTTTGCTTCCAGCCAAATCCTCCCCGCGGATGACAGGATCATTGTTGTTGGAGGGAGAGGGTCCTTTACGTATGAGTTTGTCCCAAAGATGTCAACAAATAAAAAGGCTTTTGATCTTCCTTTCTTGCAGCTAACTTATGATTGAAGGTGGAAACAATCTTTATCCTATTGTTCACCTTTCCTCTGATGGCAATTTGTTCATTTTTGCCAATAGGGATTCTATTCTTTTCAATTACAAGCAAAACAAGGTTGTAAAGAAATTCCCAAGGATTAACGGATTGGGGTCAAGGAGTTATCCAAGCACAGGATCATCAGTTATTCTTCCACTGGATCACAAAGATGGGTTCCACAAAGTGGAGGTTATATTATGATATGCGGAGCGGCAGCTTCAGGGGAGAATGCAGCTGCTCGACAGGGCAGATTCTTGACAGGTCTAAGCAGTTGCGGAAGAATGGGGGATCACTGGACATAAGCATCAGTGGAAGATGGAAAACATGCCAGGGCCACGCCTAATGCACGATATGGTGCTTCTTCCAACAGGACAAGTGCTAATCATAAATGGCGCGAAGAAGGGTTGTGCTGGATGGCAAAATGCAGTCACCCCATCTCTTGAACCTTACCTATATAACCCAAGGAAAACTCTGGCAGAAGGTTTTCTGTTCTGAAATCCACTAGAATCGCGAGAATGTATCGTTCATCAGCAGTACTTCTACCTGATGGAAGTGTACTAGTTGCTGGAAGCAATCCAAATAATCAATACATTTACAAAAATGTAAGTCACCCTACTCAACCCCGGTTACAGGCATTCGTCCCGAGATTATATGGACAGGAAATATAGTCATCAAAGGCCTCATAATGTGTCCATTGACAGCAATGGCAAGGAAGGAATTGCTTGTGGTGACGAATTTGTGGTTCGTTTTTTGCTCTAGGGAGTAAGCCTAGTAAATATATAGCTTTTAGTGCATATGCGCCTCCGTTTACAACTCATTCCCTATCAATGAATCAAAGGTTGTTGAGACTAAGGTGCAAACATATGGTAAGGGATGAGAATGGTTGGTGGAATGCTACTGTGGTAGCTCCTCCCTCTGCTAAGGTTGCACCCTACAACAACAACAACAACAACTACCCAGTGTAGTCCCACAAGGTGGGGTCTGGGGAGGGTAATACGTACACAGGCCTTACCCCTACCCGAAAGGGCAGAGAGGTTGTTTCCAATCGACCCTCTGCTTAGGAAAAGGAAAAGGAAAACAAAAACAAAAAACAAAAAGCAAAAGAGCATTAGTAACTCCAGCAGAGATCACATAAATAATTATCTAAACATAAACCATAAAAAAATGGCATGCAAATATATCGACCAGTAACTACCATAAGGGGGCACAATACAATACACAGATCATCTATGGAGACGCCCTACCCCAAACCCCCCCCGCCCCCCCGACGAGAAGTAACGAAAATTACTAGAACGCCCTA